AAAACAGTTGTATCTCCATTATTTGGGGTATAGTGAGCCGCAACGTGATTCAGCGAACAGCCAGTAGGGAAAGCGAGACCAGCTTCAAGCCCATTTTCCTTTATCAAGTGGCGCGAGCAGGCCTCCAAACGCTCACTACAAATAACACTTTAGTTATTGAGGTACGCGACTTTGAAGTAAACTAATGCAGTCACAGATATCTGCTCTTTGCGGCTAGTTTGGAAAACTGTCTGAAATCTCCAGGGTTTCAAAGCGGCAAAAAGTGTAGTAAACATCAAAAGCTTCGCTGGATATGAGGGAAGCCATGACGTTATCTAGTGAAATCACGCAACAACGCAACGACTCACCAAATTTCAATCATCGTCATTCCAGGTTTTACCCAGGATTTCACATAGCTCCGAACCTGTCGATGAGCTTCAGCCGACCGCCGGTAATCCTAAAGGAATACTTAGCAAGAAGGTCTCCACAATATTAACACAACTTTCTACCTGATACATTTCTTCAAAAGATCCATCCAGAGCTTTCTTCTCCTGATTGCTTTCTCGATCTGAAGCTATCCTCCCATCCTTACCTGCAATTGGCCTTATTTATGTTCCATCGACTGTACCTACGGACTCATATATGTAAGCCACCCAAGCAGTATCTACGAAAGTCTGTATCGGTGCAATTGAATTCAGGATAGAAGAACATCCTACCTGGAAGATAGTACGTTTCGCATTGTCCCACAGGATACTTTCCATCAGGAAACTGCTCATCGATAGGTTTCATAGCCGTTATTTCTTTGTGCCAGTCAACTACTGGAGCTTCTTCCACACCATTGAGTACTGTGTCTCCTCCACCATTCATGACAGCAGCACCCTTAGCTAGAACACGAAAGATCACGTAGAATCAACATGATAACGAAAAACCTAAAGAAACCGCAAACTATTCCATGGAAAAATTATAAAAAATGATCTGCTAAAAACCTTTGACGCAAACTTAGTATTTGTACCGTGTACACCCTCATCTTCTCTGTGCAAACGTATTAAACAAACTCATGAAACTTCTTTCAAATGCAACTCGAAAGTACACACCTCAGTCGACATCGGCAAGGCAACGTAGAGCCCCACTAACGCACTGACATAGACAGACTGTGACATAAAAATGTTGTACAAGCGATTGTCAATCAAAAAAAGAGCACATCTACAAATTCATCAAATCACCCTTCGCTGAGACTGTTGGTACCAGACTTGTCTGGGAAGGATAAAAACACTGACTTGTACATCGGCTGCCCCCAGTCATTTTAATGGCATCAAACGCACTACGAATGTACAAATGAAAGTAGAATGCGTGCCGCATCCCAAAAGGGATCTCAACGGCAAATACTTTATCCTTATCCCCTCGCTACGCAGAGTACAAGCACTTTCTGATTGACTTGTATGTTTACTAGCCAAATATAGAGCCTAACAAGTTGAAGTCAATTAATATGCAGCGGAGAGTTTGCAAAAAGCTGATCACCTGGTGAATTGAAGAAAGAACTGTTTGTTTTAACACATTGCGTACCGCGTGCGCCACATGGTGGCGCACGATTTCACACGAAACATCATAGTTTAATCTGATTTATTTGACATTTTTCAATGCTCATGGACTGGTTGCACTCATTTTCAGAGCCTGGAAACCATACGTGTCATCACTGGTAAAATTGTTGATAGATTAATGATGATACGTTTTTGAAAAATATAAAAAAGCTACGAAGGTGCTCATACAACGGCGGTCCGCAATGTGTTAAAAACGAAAGACTAAAGACAGGATGATAGAAGAAAAATGTTTCAGGACCACTAACCGATGGAAGAAGCTACTGTAGGCTACAGTTAGAAACAAACTGTTACGGAACAAAACTTAAGGCAGCAAAATCCTCGCTCGTCTCCCGTCATTCTCTAGCTCGAGTAACAACTGTTACAAACACGACGTGTGGATACAACGAAACACAGACCTTTCTTGCCTCCTTTGCCCTTCTTTGTTCCTGCTTTCTCTGCCCGTGCTTTGTCCTCAACGGCAAGCTCAGCCAAGATCGCATCGAGATCCTCATCTGAAACTGGCATCAGTTGAACAAGAATAATACATGAAAATTACCAACAAAGCAGACATCGCGCTATCTCTTCTCTCTAAATGGCACGCTATCTGTGAAGACCAACTACCAAGCAATAATCAGAAACCAAATTCTGACTCCAAATATGGTAAAATACAGCTGCCATTTTGAAAGAAGCGCACCAATCCTACACAAATCAAGAAGTACATGTTACCTGCGGCCGCGACCTTTCCCCTTCTTAGCTGCTCCTTTTTTCGACATGGCTGGAACTATAGTTGCAGCTATATGAAAGAAACACAGACCTTGATATACTACTGAAATTGAATCGATAGGAAGAACGTAATAACTTCCGACATCAAAATAAGAATAACAGCAGTGAAATAAAGCTTTCATTTCAACAACCTTTCAAAACAAAGCACACAGGGGAGACACCCGTGATCATTATTACCGTAATTTCACCATCTGAATTATATGACCTAGAAACTAAAAAATATAAACATAAAAACACATGTGCAAGAAAGGCCTTAGTTAGTAGGCAGTAAAATAATTTCGAGTTATTAATCTTAGTGATATCTTCTATTGAGCATACACAGATATGAGGAAAACACTATATGAAAATCTACGTTCTTTCTATACGCTTCAGCAAATCGCCTCAACTGCTCTTCCTCTTCATCGCAACCATCTGAGTCACTTTCTCCTTCACATGACTCTTCAGAACCACTCACTGTCTCATCTTCAGAAGCGAGCCCTTGCTCAAAAAGTAAAGTGTTGCCTTCATCATCCGAGCACGATATCGGTGGAGCGACATCTTTGTTCGGTCGTTCTTCTTCCTCCTTATTCACTTTCATCTCCTTCGCCTGTTCACTTGTAGGAGTTCGACTTCTAGAAGGCATTGGGTCGTCCTGATGCTTCTCGACTCGAGCTTCACCTTTATTAACCTGCTCATTAACGCCAGCATCAGGTGGCGACTCCAGTTCTGAGTTAAGCGGAGTAGCCCTATGCATTTCGGAGTTTGTCTCAACTGCAACCTCGCATTTACGCCCTGCCTCTTTATACACATCATATTTGAACAAGGCATCGAAATTTCGTAACCATGCAGTGTGATGATCAACCTTAGCACGCCAGAACCTCGGGTGGGTCACGAAGGGGTACCTGGAATGAATTTTGTGAGAACACCGAACAAAGCGAGTTCAAAAACAAAATTCAGGAGGGAAGGCACAAATTGAAC